GCTGGGGGACACAGGTCATGGGGCTGGGGGACACAGGTCATGGAGCTGGGGGACACAGGTCATGGAGCTGGGGGACACAGGTCGGTGTATTGAAGGAGCAACCGCTCCTCTGTCTCACCCTATCATCACAGTACGAAAACACCCAAGAATTAAGAAACCCAGCTAGAGATGGGGCTGGGTTGAGCGCTGTGTGGTTGGAGCTGAGGACTCGCCATCCGCTTAAATGACATTTGGCAGGATAGACACAGGATGACATTTGGAGGAGGGGTAGCAGTAGAGAAGTTTGTGGGAATTAAAAAGAAAAATGCTAAACCCAGGTTCTCTCTCACAGGACATTAATTACTACATACTCACTAGTTGCTACACTAGATGAAGAACAAAAGTGGGTTCTAGACCGGGGAGCCACACTCGGCAGGTAAGAGCATCCTCTTGCAGAGGTCCGGAGTCTGTCTCCGGCAAGACTCACCAGCACCCACTCAGGCAGCTCACAACCTCCTCTAACTCCTTCTCCAGGGCATCCAATATTCCCTTCTGGCCTCCTTGGGGCACCCACTGTGCACATACTTACAAACATACACGTAATTCAAAATAAAAATGCTTTTTAAAAGCAAGTTGCAGGGCTGGAGAGTTGGCTCAGTGGTTAAAGCATTTGTTACTCTTGCAGAGTACATGAGTTCACTTCCCAGCACCCACATGGCAGCTCACAGCTGTCTGTAACTCCAGTTTTTGTGGATCTGATGCCCTCTTCTGACCTCCACAGGGACCAGGCATACACATGGTGCACAGTACATATAAAATAATAGAACAAACAACCTAAAAAATACTCTAAGAAAGTGAATTGCAAACTATATAAGCATTAAGTCTTGGAACATTTTTACCTTAAATGATAAGCAGAGGCCAGAAAAAGACATGAGCTAAAGATCCTCACATTCTTAATACATAAATCTATTCTATTGTTTCATTTTCTTTGTTTTCCAACAAGTTGGAGAAAACATTCAGCGATAATGGAGCTGACTTTATCCTTCCTCGGACTGAGCCTGGGCAAGTTCCCAGAGCCCCAAGGGTCTCTAACAATGACACAGTTCTCCTATACTTCAGGGCTGGTGAAGTGACCTCAGTATGACCAAAACCCTGTGGCACTTGCCAGAATCAAGTATTTGTAAAATCAGTGAGAAGAAATATCTACACTGAAACATGACTTCCTTTAGCGACTGTTTGTGTAGTTTCTTCTCTGGTGGTAAGGTGTGGGCTTCGCTCCAATCATTTCATCTGGTGTGAGAGAGAAAACCCAGGTTCAGTGCCTTGAGACCTCGTCTGAGATGTGAAGCCATTCCATGTATTCAAGAATTGCCTGAAGTCTCGGCACTCAGGAGGCAGAGCAGGTGAGGTGTTTAAGACCCACCTAGTACTTAAAAGGCTTCAGGTAATTGGTTAGTCACCAGCTTAACCTAATGGTGGTCACGAGTCTACAGAATTCAACACATCCTGACAAATTCACAAGAACCAAGAAAAATTTAGAAGCTGGAAATAAATCAACATCAGTCAAAAGGCCTCCACTCAGAACAGTCTAGAGGTTTTTCCTGGTGTCTCACTTGGTCCAGAACCCCGGCTCAGCCCCCACACCTGCCCTGCCCTACATGGCCCTCAGGAGCATACAAGTCTTGTTTTCTGTGGGTGGTGTGGGCTCCAGGTAAACCAGAAAAATCAAAGAACAGAAGAAACTCCAAGATGTAAAGACACAAAACGACATGAGAAAAATGCAACAAGGCTGCATGGGACTGTGACCGCAACTGGTGTCGGGTGGAAGGCGGACTTAGTGCGGGAGGCTACGGTCCGTCCAGAGGAGGCAGCCAGCCCGTTAGGATCCTCTGCTTCCTGACTGCAGAACTGGGTGCAGCAGAGTGGAGATGGTCCAGCATGGGGCCCCTGGGGAACCCTCCCCCAAGCAATGAGAAAGCGGGGTGTTTGGATCATCAGCAAACACTGAGTTCAGCTTGGTCTCTCTGTAGTGTGTTCCTTCTCTGTCTCTCAAGAGGGAGGCCAGAGTGCTGTGTTCTGCTCCAGCAGCAAGGTGTGTGTTTGCTTTTCCTGCCCATCTTCATCAGGAACTCCTCCGCTCTGAGAAAACCAGCAGGGCCTCGCCAAGTCCACCAAGCAGGAAGCTGCAAACAGTAGCACATGGTCAGTGGTCCTAACTCTGTGGCCTACCAAAGTTGCCTGGCACCCATAAACAGCAAGGAAGAGTGATATACCCCACGACCACCAGCCCAGGCAAGCCTGGCTCCGGGTACAGCCCAGAAACCTCGTGCCACTTAAGGGAAAAAGCATCAGCTACAGGGTGCGGGTCAGGGGTCTGGGAGGCCGCCCTGAGGAAGGATGTGTATCCCACTTATCCTGACCAGTCAACACTCTGAAGAAAACCATGAGAGGAGGAAGCAAGGAGGAAGGGCTTCCCGTGATCCCCTGGGTGCTTCTGGCTAAAGGGGATTGTGGGATATGAAATCATGAAGACACTCGCAACCCTACATCAGGAAGGGCGTGGCTTCTGAACTTAGAACAGTTACAGGTAAACATATAAGTGGGAATCATGAACTTCCCACCAGCGCAGAAAGAGATGAAGCCGGTGATTTGGAAACCAAGACATTCTAGAACTGCAGGCGGGAGAAGAGGGAATATTTAACATGCCTAAAATTCAATACATGCAAAGGTCTCTCCCTCTTCTATTTTAAACTTCTTGGTAGACAGTCTGGTGTCTGCTGCTCTTCTGGGGACAGGGCTGGGCCACTGCCAAGGGATTATGGTGGTGGGTCCCTGTCAGTGAAGGCTTTTTCGGGGTGCCTGCCAACCTTCAGTTACGTTTTCTTTCTCCCCTTCCCCTCTATACGCCCAAGACCCCAGCTCTCTTATGCACACATACACTCACCGTGGTGCCTTTCTATTTCTAACGTGTCTGGGGTGCTGAATATATGAAGCACACACATTCCCTTCACAGTGAAAACCTGTATGGGTCATTCTGACATCTACATACAGGGAATCTGTACCACCTTGCACTTTTAGTACAAGAATGAACTATGGATGAGGATGTACAAGTAATAGACTCAGACTCACACAGACACGAGCTCAGATTTATTTAGCCTTCGCTTCCCTGCCTGGTCCATGGGAGCTGAGCATACCTCACAGTGCGTACAAGGCCTGGAGATAACATCTGAAGCCACCCACCCCCGTGCTTGGCCTACAACGCACTACCAATAACACATGGCTCTTCCCTGGCCTCATGAGCTCCTCGAGCGGCAATCCCTGCCTCAGTGACAGTTATTCTGGCCACCCATCTGCTGAAGACATCTAGTGAGGGACGTATCTTGTTGCACAGGTGAGCAGCTATGGCTACATCACTGAACTCAGTCTCTATGGACCTTCTTGGGAGAGACACTGAGTTAGCTCTAAGGACTGACAAGACATGGCACCTTCTCACATTGCCCCAGAAGTTGTACCTCTCAATGAGTCTGCTCTGCAAGGCAAGAGAAAAAAAAGTCAAGCTACTCCTGTACCACATCAGAGCCAGGAAAATCCCTCTCGCTCTGGGTTAGCTGGCCAAGGAGCCAGGCACAGAGCTATGAGCATGGGGTTGTCTCTCTACGAGGTGAATGGCAGAGATGGAGTAGATGAGGAAGATGTGGGAATATATGTCCCTCTTTCCTGCAGACACCATCATAAATAGTGAGAATCAATCACTTCTATTTAACTCACAGAAGTGTAGCTGGAATTGGTGTCTTAGGAACCATGCACAACTATGAGGACTTTTGCGATCACTGCCATAGGACGGCTTTAGTGATCCGTCACGATCCAGGTGTCAAAAGACCATACCTAGAAACACCTGTGTGTGGAGATGGGAGCTTGCTTGGCTCTTGTCTGGTGTGGGAGCTGGAGAGACTCTGTCACCTGTTCTCTGTGGTAAAGAATGAGGGGGCAGGAAGCCCTTCTTTGCCCCATGAGCTCTCCTTGGAAGCCGTTTCTTCATCTGAAGTGGTTCTGCTGTTCTTCCCATTCAAGAACACACGTTACCTCATGTCCCTGGGCAGGCACACAAACACAGCAACCAGAGAGGGAAGCTGCACAGAGCTCTGCTTGTGGGACAATTTCATTTTAAACACTTCTCACCAATCCTCCTTAATCACCGGAACAGACCAGGGCAGCGCTGGCCCTCCGCCAGTGTTCTCCCACAGCCCGGGAACAATGCCCGAGCCTAATAACGTCGCATTCATCCCTTTGGCGGAGACTTTATGAAGCGCCCAAGGAGCTTAGTGAATGGTAAAATGAAAACAAACCTTGTTTCGTTTACTGTGAAGAGAGCCAAGAGGTGGCCTTTGATGTTGTTTTTGAACCAGCAGGAGCAGCTCACACAGGGTCCCGGAGTCTTAGCAGCATTAGAACTATTTAAGTCAAAGCTTGAGTGAACTGTTTGCAAACCTTGTAATCCCACCGTTCCCGAAATGAACACACTTCACAGGGTGAAGGCATAAACCGCGAGGCTGCAGAGCACACATGGCCAGAAACACCCATTCCAGGTGTCTATTCCGGAGCGTTATTTCAGAGCCTCTCCAGCCTTTTCCCCTGTGGGGATCAAAGGCCTCGTCTCGCCCTACATCTATTATTGTGGATGCTAATTCCTACTGAACTCAACATTTTTCCTCGGATGCAGACCCAGCACACACACACACACACACACACACACACACACACACACACACACACTATATATACAATGAATGACCAGATTAATTGTTAAATGTGTTCCCCATCTCCCATCTATATTCTGACTACTTGGTTTTTACTCCCTTCTACCCCACTAAAATGTCTCTCCCTAACATCTCATTCTCCTGCAGAATGAAGTTCACAAAAGATAATGGAAATTACTTTATCTTTATTTATTTTTTGACAGTATCTTATGTAGCCCAAACTTAAAGTCACTACACAGGCAAGATCATACCACACCCATTTTAATGTGCTCCTGGGAATGGAACCCAGGGTTTTGCATAAGCTTAGGCAGGCACTCTACCAATTGGACTACATCCCTAGCCCTGAATAATACCGTTTAAAATGAGATGCCAACATTTAATTCAAACAGGGAATTGATATGTTTCATTCACTGTAGTCCTAAAGGGATCTAGGGAATATTAGGACATTTCCCCCGGCTCCTGAATTCATTTTCTGTTCACCAAGCTTGAGTAGTCTCCAGGAAGGGGCCCTAAAACCAGAGGGAGAGGATTTCTTGATTCAAAGATAACTGAAATTCTTTTTATTTTTCTTTTTAGACAGGGTTTCTCTGTATAGCCCCAGCTGTCCTGGAACTCACTCCATAGACCAGGCTGGGCTCGAACTCAGAGATCCGCCTGCCTCTGCCTCTGGAGTGCTGGGATTAAATTCATGTGCCACCACCTAGCTGAAAATCTTTTTCTTTGCTTTGGGTCTCAATAAGTATCCTGAGCTATTTTCAATTTATAATCTTCCTGCCTCAGCCTCCCAAGTGTTGGGATTTTTGTGCAGAATGTCATAGTCAGCTCTTTACAATCATTTTCTAAAGATCCTTGATGTTCATGAGGTCTGTACTGGGATAAAGTCAGAGACTGTCATGGCTGGCAGCCTGTGATGGATGGCTGGCAGCCTGTGATGGATGGCTGGCAGCCTGTGATGGATGGCTGGCAGCCTGTGATGGATGGCTGGCAGCCTGTGATGGATGGATGGCAGCCTGTGATGGATGACTGGCAGCCTGTGATGGATGGCTGGCAGGCCCAGTGAATGATGGGCAATGGTAAAGATTGTCATGGAATCCTCGGAAGAAATCAGGAGATGAGCAAGTTCCTTAGGATCTTGTTGAAAAGTCAGATAACGTTCTTTCTGTTCATTTGCAGGAACCGTGAGACTGGCAATTCTGTCTGTCTCCAGGGAACGCTGTCCAAAGCCTTCAAGACATTTTGCATTACAAATGCAAGATGCTACCAGCATCCAGTGGGGTAGAGATCAGGTTTGCTCCTTGGCATCCAACAAGGCACAGGATGGTACCCCACAACCAAGAATAATTTGGCTCCAAATACCAAGAGTACCAAGAGGGAAAAATATATTTTTATTTTTTTACATTTGCATATCTATTTTTTGTATCTGCGAGTATGAGTGCATGCATGCACATGTGTGAATGTCAGGGACAATTGGTGGCAGTTGGATCAAGCTCAGACCACTGGGTTTAGAGACAGATATCTTGATCACTAAGCCGTCTTGCCAACCTAGAAACCCTACCTTACATGGCCTAATTTACCAGCTAAGACGCTGTCCTCCCAGGAGAACAGGTAAGCCAGTTCAGGCGTGGCTCTGACCACGCTCCTCAGGGAGCACTTCCCAGGTCACTCCAACAGCTGCTTCCACGCGTGGGCAGAGGCCCAACACAAACTCACAGCAGGCCACCATTTTCAAAGGAGTATGGAAATCTGGATTTGTAGGAGGAAATCACCTAATTTCTAAAGGCTGCTGACTAATTTAAAATTTGAAAATCAATCAAAACATAAGAAACAGTAATTGTACAGGAAAATACAATAGGTCTAAAATATTTTTTTAAAAAATTCCAAGACCTACAACCTCTGCCTTTTGTGATTTCTGATTAGTTTAAATTCCCAGGGGACAAAGACCAGCCACTCCCATCTGGAACCTGAGAGCTGGTCTGGCACTTGGCCATGCTTGAACTCATACAGCGTATGGAGCAACCACCTAGGTGAGAGGCAAAAGTTGGAATTACAGATTGACACAACTCTGGTTGTTCATTTTGTGGCTGGAAAATTCTTTGAGGCTGAAAAACCATCCCTAACTTCAAGAGTTCTAAAAACTCAGGAATTTTCAAAGCCAAGGTTCATTTTGCAATAGACATACATGCCGCTCCCTGATTCGGGTCCAAATGGCCTCTGTTCCCACTTTGTCCAGGGCCTAACCTCAGCTCCACGGATGTGAAGCAGTCTGGAGCAGAGTTCCTTCCAGACAACCACTGCGTTGCTAGCATTTCCTCACGCCAGACAGCAGTCTCGCTCTGGTTTCTCTTGCTCAATTCAACACCTGGGTTTCTTTGGTTCATTTTGAAGTTCTATACAAAATATGAAGGCATGCGTGTAAGAAAGGAACATTCTGTCAAGAATGTAGGCTAGCACCGTGCAGCAGAAAGATAAACATTGAAGCCGGTCTCCCTGTGTCTCCCGCTCGGCCTTTAACCTTCACACTGACCTATACCTGCTGGCAAGGCTTTGCCTGTGCTCACGTTAGTTCTGGAAGTTTCGGGGCTTTGGACACACCGAGGCCTGGGCTTGAATTCCCATTTGATCTCCTCATGTCTATAAAACCCTGGGGAAATCACTTAATGCCTCAGGGTAGGACACAGAAATTTGGGGCTAGCGAGATGGCTCAGTGAGTAAAGGTGCTGTTCCTAAGCCGGAGGACCCGAGTTCAAGCCCTAGGGCTCACTGTAGAAGGAGAGACCCAACTCCTGAAGTTGTCTCTGACCATCACATAAATGCTGGGACACACACATGGGTGTGGACACACATACATACAAAACACACCCATCTACATACTACATACACACATGGGTGTGGACACACATACATACAGAACACAACCATCTACATACTACACACACACATGGGTGTGGACATACATACATACAAAACACACCCATCTACATACTACATACACACATGGGTGTGGACACATACATACAGAACACACCCATCAATACATACTACACACACACATGGGTGTGGACATACATACATACAAAACACACCCATCAATACATACTACACACACAAATGGGTATGGACACACATATATACAAAACACACCCATCTACATACTACACACACACATGGGTGTGGACACACATACATACAAAACACACCCATCTACATACTACATACACACATGGATGTGGACATACATACATACATACAAAACACACCCATCTACATACTACATACACACATGGGTGTGGACACACATACATACAAAACACACCCATCAATACATACTACATACACACATGGGTGTGGACACACATACATACAGAACACACCAATCTACATACTACACACACACATGGGTGTGGACACACATACATACAAAACACACCCATCTACATACTACACACACACATGGGTGTGGACACACATGCATACAAAACACAC